CCCCACCAGGAGCTCCAGGGTGACATGAACAGTGACAGTCCCTGTCACAGAGGCCAAAGATAAGGCTTGGGCCCTACGTACATCATGTAATGGCTATCTGACCAGAGACCAGGCTTTTTCTTTGGAAACGCTGCAGCCTTGAAGCTCTCTTGCCTTGAAGATTCATAATGCATGTTAATATATTTAAAGTTCTGAGAAGCCCAACAATAAATAAACAACTTTTGTTACTTAGTTTTGCCCAAAATTATTATCAGGAAAAAAGCTGAACATAAGTAACAATACATGTTCCTTAGAATGATATATCAAGTTCCAGGGAACATTTTTGGGAAATATTGCCTAAAATAAATCCTATGAGTCAAGATCAAACAATACAATGAAAGATGGGGAAAGTGCTCTGCAAACTGCAAGGTACTGTGCAATGTACTTTATCAGATGTCCGAGGGGGCTCTTCAAGAAGCTACGACCAGAATCCAAGGAAGTCAACTCAAAGGCTACCCATACCATGCGCTGGGAGCGAGGTGTCTGGTGTAGAATAACTACAGAGAGAAAAATCCCAAATCAAGTCCATTGAGTTTGGGTCTAAAAAAAAGAATGGGTCAAGGATGGGAAGAGGTCTTTTCCAAAGACATTCATTCCACCCACAGCTCAGTGAACTCTCAGTGGATATACACAGTCAGGTCTCCGATTTGTGATCAGTATCTAGCTCTGGCAAGTTGGCAGGTCCATACAGGTAAGGTTACATGGTAGCAGGGTGGATCCATCTGTGGCTCTGTGATTTATGCTGAAGCAACACTTTTTGGTAATAACTCAGCACAGTTATTGACTTTGCAGAGATAATCTAAAGGTAGACTCCCCCACTTGAAACTTCTCCCTTAGATCCATAACAAATGATCATAATAGGAACCACTAGTTGGGCCTTTACTACATATGCCAGATACTGAGCCAGACCATACACATACTGAAATTCTGTTTCATCCTCAAAGCAATTCTCTTTCTCATGAGGCCAAACTCAAGGGCTATTGATGATAAAACTGAGGGTAAGAGCAGTTAAGTGATTTGCCTAAGGTTCAAACTATTAAGTGGCAAACCTGGGGCTATAGACAGGGGTCTGCACATATTTTTTTTATTCTGCATCCACAACAAATTATTTACAACTATGCATATGTGCCCCTGTACTAACAGATATTAAAAAGTATGACACAAAATAAATATACAGAGAAATAATACTGTCTTCTACTGTCAGTTTGGAGATAACTGATACATTATACTATTTTCTCCTTCACTTCACAGTTTGTACTTTATATTCCTCTCTGCTCCATTAAAGGCCCAGATCAGTCTACTTTCATTACCTGTTGAGCCTAAGTCTACTCATCACTTCTTTTTCTAAAATCCTTTATATTCTTCAAAGTCACATAAAATACCGACAGGCTTGAGAGAGGAATATATCTGGTGGCTAATGGTAGTTTTCAGAAGGAGGTAACTCTTTTTCATACCATGATGAACCATTTTTAAAACTATTACTTTTGTTTGTGGCAACTCTAAGAATTTAAATCCTGCTTCTTTGGAAATTCTCAGAAGAAAACTACTATGTTATGAAATCCTCTCTTGTACCTTTTAATGTTTCTTTTTTAAAAAATTATTTATTTTTACCTTTTAATATTTCACAGCTAACTGAAATTGGCAATTAAAAAAAAAAAACCAAGGTTAATTATGACAATAAATAGACCTAATATATCCCCAAAATGTAATGATATGGTATTTCAGTTTTCAGTTTTTTTAGGTTTCAGTTTTATGGGCAATATAGGGGGAAAAAATTCACATTACATGGTAATTTACTGTTGGAACGAGACTACCAGCATTCCTACTTTCTCTAAAATAATCATTATTTTTCATATTCTTGGGGAAATCCTGCATATGCAGTTTTGATTAGATTCGGGAGTTTTAAGGGTCTGAGCAAAGGCCAAGTCTCCAAGAACATATATAAGGCACGAAAGAGAAAAGATCATTGCAGACTGCGTAGTGCTTAATAAAACATTACTTCTCAAACAAAGCTGTATTAAATGACCTACCTTGTTAAAAGAAACTGGGAATTCTGGATAGTTTGCTGACTGCTTTCTGTGTTAGCTGTGTTGGTTGTTGCTGTGGATTGTGTGATTGTAGTGGTGACACTGCTTGTGTTAGTACGCCGGGTTGCGTTGCGTGCCGTCTCCAGTTGTTGTCGTGCTGCCTGGGCATGCTGCCGTTCCAGCTGCAGCTGCATCTGCAGTTGTTGTAACTGAGAAGCTGAAGGGCCAGAAGAATTAAGCTGTCCTCCTGCAGAACGTCTCACTCCTGATAACTGAGATAAAAGTTCTGCCAATGGAAATGAAGGCGATTAATGTCTGCTTAAGATACTGTGGAAAACAAAACGCTGAAGATCACTCTTTTAGAGGAACATTAGAAATGACTGTCAATAGGCAGGTATCCTTGGCAACATAAAGTTTCAGCTTGGAGCTCAATACCTTTTATTTTTATTTATTTTTAAAGTAATCTCTATCCCCAATGTGGGGCTCGAACTTACAATCCCAAGATCAAGAGCTGCGTGCTCTACCGACTGAGGCAGCCAGGCCCCCTCAGTATCTTTTAGAATGCCTCCTGGAGGTAGGAGCTGTTGTGTATGGGGAATGGAAATATAATTAGCCCACATACAATTATTTTTAAGTAAAACGTAACAGACTGTTGCTTAACGGACTTAATGGACTAATTTAGTTATACTTTCTCTTACTATTTAGTAAATTAAAGTGGATCATCTGCTGGTCCAATCATAATATAAAACCTCTTAACACAAGCTCCATGAAAGCAGGGATCAAGTCTACCATTTACAATACTCCCAGCTCTTAGAACAGTGCCCGACACCTAGTAGGCCTCTAACATTTATTCAGTGATTGAATGATGATCAGAATTGTACCCAAGAGGCCTGGATCATTTCTATCCGTGACCCTTGCACCCCCCCCCCCCACCTCTTCTCTCTGGTCCTTTCAGGTACGGTCATCTGAGAGTACCGGCGTACCACTAGAATGAGCAGCGCCAGTGATGCTCAGTGAGGCTGACTGGCCCCCGACTGTACAGCCTAGTTAGTGGCCTGTTACAATCCACACTCTTGTTTCAATAAGGTTGTACTCATCAAGGGCAATGTGGACCTCTGTCCCTGAGTTCTCATCTAAGTCAGGTGCAGGAATTGCCTTGTCGTGTGTGTGTGTGTGTGTGTGTGTGTGATTCTCCTGAGCTTACATGGGATTGACGACTGCCATAGACATTCCCTGGCTGGCAAATGCTCTTCATCATTAAAACTCATTAACAGGGTACATTTCTGTTTTCTTGCTCACTGTTGTTTTATCCCAGGGGTTCTTATACCATTCTTTCATAGAGTCCATCACTAAAATAAACTAATTTTCACTGACAGAAAAAAATGGAGAGAATTTCTCACTTTTGAATTTTGCTTCTCACTTTTGAATTTTGCTTCTAGAAATTAACTTTTAGAGCCTGCTACCAAAAACAGCAGGTAAATATTCCCTTTGGATGAAGAAATACTTTTTAAAATCCCCAAAACTCAGCTTACAGGGCTTATTGTACATCCAAATGCTTAAAGCACATTCGGAATTAAGATTTTATATCTGTATGTCTGTACATTTTTAAGAACACTTTATGAGTAAAACTGCTCCTAGTTGCTATTACAGATTTATATTTACCAGTGTTCCAGGGTGTTCAGCAAGGTGCATCACAACATCCACATACCTATTCCCCCACGTGCACGCATTTCAGAACTTGTACAGGCTTTCCAGGGCCTTACTGCCTGTCTGTGCTTGGTGTGTCTTATAGTATGAGGCTAACGTGACTTCTGGCCTTATATTTTGACTCCCAACCCCTCTGTTCCACTGCTGGCTTCCCGGGTTGGCCATGTATTAGACCCAGTGGGCTTGGTTATGAAGTACATGTTCAAATGTTGTTGGTTTTTTTTTTAAAGATTTTTTTTTTTAATTTTTTATTTATTTGAGAGAGAGAGCATGAGGGGGGGGAGGGTCAGAGGGAGAAGCAGACTCCTCGCTGAGCAAGGTGCCCGATGCGGGACTCGATCCTGGGACTCCAGGATCATGACCTGAGCCGAAGGCAGTCGCTTAACCAACTGAGCCACCCAGGCGCCCAAATGTTGTTTTTTTAAGGAAGATTTTTCTAAGCCATTAAAACATGTGCTTTCAGTACGTTCCCTAAGAATATAGTTCTCAAATCAAGGCCAAGAACAGAGAAACTCTCACTTTACTTTCTTCTATGAGAAGAGCTTAATTCTTTAGTCTTGTCAATTCGTCTTATTATCTATGTGCTTCTGGAGGTTAAGCCATGGGATTCTGGCGGTCTTTCAACTCTGAAATCTTTTATCATTTTCTTAGGTTTCAACAGAGGCTACAAATAGAGAACCTAGAACCATTTCTTACTATCTTCTGCTCTAAGTACTTAAGGAAATGCCAGAAAATTATAAACTAATTTATACTGTCTACTTTTACAATATTTTATAATTATAAGATTTAGGGGAATTTTGTGAAGGAATGTAGGAGCATGACGAGAGATTAAAAACACAAATTCCACCAAAAACTTTTAAAGCGAGGCCCCCTCCCTGGTCATTTCCTTTATGAACGTGCAACTAACTTACCAGCTATAGGATCCATGGCTTCCCTATTGCTTGGAGAATATGAACTCTGAGAAGAAGAAAGTCCACCAGTAGAACTGCTAGTAAAGTGCATGTTTGATCTACGAGCACGAGGACCTCCTAATCCCCGGCCAGGGTGAAACATTCTACGTACATGTCGAACACCACTCGATTCATCATAACTCCAAAGTTAAGAAAAGAACCCAAATATTTCACAGAAAGAAAAAAAAAATCACTTGAGCCTTTGCTAGATAGACATGCAGATTTCCTAAATTGTAAACATTTAAAAACAGCACATTTAATTTAAAATGCAAACGCCACAACCATATCTATGAGGGCTATTAACTCTAAAAAAAGACGCTCACATATAAAGCAATGAATTGAGTGTGTATATATTGTATGTGTGTGTGTGTTTTCAAAGGGGAAAAAGGTTTTCTAGGTAGGAAGAAATTTCTTCCTAGGCTCCAGCTACAGTAACCAGATGGGGTGAAAGGCGCTGTCGGGTCAGACACCCAGGTGAGGCGTCTCCTTACCCTAACCTCAGTACTGAATTTCATATATGTTCATATGGAAGTAACCAGAATTAATAAGCATCAATTTTAATACCCAAGGAGAGTTCTGCTAATCAAATCTCAATTATCATCTGTAGTGAAAAAGGAGCAGTAGAAATAATTAAAATTCAGGAGTAAAAGACTCCTTTTGGTTATTAGTTTTTGATCTGTCCTCAAGTTCTTCTTCAATGCTGCTACAAAACAGAAAACTAGAGTTGAATTTCTTGTAGAAGTGGATATACAGAGAGTAATACCACATTTCTCAACAAGTCACATTGCCAGCGCCCCCCGCCCGCCCCAATCTTCTGTAGCCGACTCAAACTAAAGAACATCCCGAAGAGCACACGGCCGCCCAAATTCATGAAGACAATCTTGCGTTTCCACACTTGTGGATGGGTGGGAAAAGCCAGCTCTTGTTGTAAAAGAGACTTTTCTTTCAAAGTAGCACACAGAACATCTGTATCGTGCAGAATCACTTTCTGCTGGCTTCCTGGTCTTCAGCTGATGATTGTGGAGTCATTGAGGGAAAGGCTGAGCGGCTCCAGGAAGCCCTCAGGGGCCACCAGAATGTGCACTGTCTCATCATGGTATTCAGGACCATGGCTTGGGTTCTACAGAAAGTGATGTTACGATCACTGTATTTCGTCTTTTAAAAGCACCTGGGTGTAAAAAGTACACTTTAGGAAGAGTTCCATCAGAACAGTTGAAAAAAGTTCTGGTGCTTACGAGGCCTGGAGAGAAGCCACGCCCTCATGACAAACAAAGTCACCCCACAGCAGCACTTGAGTACCTGAAAAATCAGTGTATTTCCAGGATAACTGCAAAGTCAACATTTTGTTTTCCAGAACCTCATGATAATACTCGTTAGGAATCTAACATGTAACATATGCCTTCTTATTCTTATATTTTGCATAATTTAATCTTCTCTTCATAACCAGAGATTCTTATAAAAATTTCACAAAAACGGATGTAGATGATGTGGGACATTCTACTGAATGGATACCAATTTCACTAGAGGCCCTTGAACTTGCAGAAAAAGTCCAGAGTAAAAAAAAAAAGTTCAGGATAACAGCTTGGTTTGAAGTTATTTGCCTAGCTTCTCCATGAAGACAGCGTGAAACAGGGACCAAGCATAACCCTCTGGGCATTGTTATAAGATTCTTTTATGTAAAATGTGAAGTGACTCAAAGACTTAAGTATTCTTGGCCCATCTGGGTTTTCTTACTCTCTTAAAAAAACCCAACAAACCCCATGCTTTCTTCATTATACTCTCAGTGTCCTCAGCACTCAGGAGAGAGGAAAAGTGGTTTCCTCTGTTCGGTGAGTACCGGCCCCTTGACTGGCTCAGGTCTGGCTGACATTCTAATTTCTTAGGTTGGTTCCAGGTCTTTATCTTTCCATTAGTTTTCTCATCTTCCCCTAACTCCGAGGGACCATATTTCCAATTAGAAAATTAGAAACTGTAAGCAAGGAATGGGAGCTGTGGAACGAGAAAAGCATCAAATCAGTTTCTTCCTCAACGGGATTAAGGTTGCATTATGATTGCTGGGAGGCAATCAAAGGAATCAGAATGAAGTCTGGCAAAGAGAAAAGCGGTGTTTAGCTCTTGAATTGCTTTGAACTAGAGTGAACACTGAAACGTTTACATGAAAACAGACCCCTAAGTTAATAGGTGATAGTTATAGAAAAACAATTCAGAACTTGAAACAAGCAGCACAGAGTGTACAAATTTAATTACTCTGGTGGGCCGCTCATCTCTTGGATTACAGGGAATATCACCAGCAACTGCTGAGAGACTTGCAAAGGGGAAGCAGAAGGGAAAGCGGGAAAGGACTTTGGAGCTGGACGTGACCTTATGCTGTCCTACTCAGAGACTGGGCAGGGAATGGCGGTCTCTGGAGAAGGGGACTCCGAGAGGGAAAGCAGCCCCAGCACACATCCCTGCTCAGCCTCCCACCGATAACAGGATAAGGCAACAGAGCACGTGGAGGGGAAGCAAATAAATTCTCTTTATATTTACTTAGATTTTAATTTGGATTAGCATTTTCCTCTTTTGTATGAAAACACCCTGCTGAAAACTTATAACCCAGTTAAACCGTCTTAAAAAAAATCCGACTGTAATGAAGTGAAGATGATGAGCAAGGCAACTTTCACTTAATGAGCATTGTTCATGTGACAGTCATAGCATATAAAAAGAGATAAATTCCATCTCCACACTGAGTCACTTTTGGTAGGAATGGTCAAATAAACTAATTTCGAGGTTAGTTTTTCTCTTCAGGTATACTGTCCTTAAAAATAATCAAAATAACAAACATTACAAACAACTCTATCCCTTCTTCCTCTTAAAAGGATATTAAATCTCTAGGGGCTCTGTGTTCAAGTGTAAGATGAGCTGCAAAGTCATCCGTGACATGATTAGGATCGCCTCCAGGTAATGCTGCACATATTGGACAAATCTGAAATGAAAGTAAAGAAAGCAGATTTAATAGATGAATATTGATCAGACATCTTTCTGGATGAGTATTTTACTATAATTGAGTTTCAACCAGTCAAAAACACAGTAGAGATCGTGCACTCATCAAAAGCACCAGAGGCCGGACTATGAACTACAGCACGTCTGCGCTGGTGCTTAAACTAAACCAAACCAGCTCTCAGGGTCAGATACAACAGTTCTCAACAAACAGCTCAAACACGAGCTCTGGCAAAGCCTTCTAACAGCCTGGCCAATGCATTCACATGGTCTAGCAAAATAGCTTCCATAAAAAAATTTTAAGATGTAAAAAAAAAAAAAAAAATTTTTTTTTAAGATGTGCTATTTAGTGCACATTCCCATCTGACTAAGTCCAGACTTGAATGGTAAAGACAGACATAAGCATCCCCAAAGTAAGCTAGATTTGAGGTCCAATCTCCAAATACGACAGCAAAGCTCTTACTAAAACACAGCTATACAAACTCAAATATTAAGACAATGTTTACGATAATGTGCAAATGCGCTCTATACATTCATGAGCAGGACTTCCAAGGGAAAATGGGGGGGGAAACAAAAGGCCAAGGAGCAGAAGACCTAACTTCCCGTGAGTCTCGGGGCGGGGACAGGACAAAGGGGGAATGAAATGGCGTGTACACAGGCGGCACTCGGGGGAGACTCATAGGTTGGGGATTCTGTTTTTGAAACAGCAGCTTCAAGGGAGGTGGCGCAATAAGGAGAAGAGGGCAAGGATCGAAAGAACGAGGCACTTTCAGAGGAAAGGCCCTTTCTCTTCTAGAAATCCAAGTGGGCAGGTGATGTTCTAAGAGTGGCAGCCATGCCTTGGGGTATGAAGAACTTTAAAGAACAGAGCCAAGAAGAAAGGTCTGATGCAAAGGAACACAACCAAAGGAAGCCCCGGGAAACGTACAGAGTTTTGTGTCTCTCTAGGGACAAAAGAGCTGAAGATGGGATATGTGATTCATCTTGCCAATACAAGTGTTGTGTGCCTCAATTCTTTCCCCTGAGTAAAATTCAGGCACTCACTTGACCTTGCTCCCTGCTCGTGGCAGAGGAGAAGACGAGAGTGGCAGAGATGGGGAGGCAGGGGCAAGGTGAGACTTGGAAGGCCCACCCTGGGATGCAGAGGGGAAAACAAACTGATTCCCAGAGGCTAAGCCAACACAAATCCCCATCCTCTCCTGACCAGAAAGCAGGAGTCCCCTGAGAGTTCGACTCTGATTTGATCCCAGATGCTCTTATGCCCAGTCAGCTGTCCTGATTATATCTGCCTCAGGAGTCTGAGACATATCCTCAAGAAAATCTAAAGATGCTCATGAGAAATTACATTTAGGCACGACAGTGTGCAAAAGAAGTAGGGGGTCACACAGGAAGATGCCTGCGAGGGAAATGAATAAAGAAGTAGACAGACATGTGCATGCCTTTCTTAGAAGATGCCAGAAAGGTGGTCAGACATTCTTTCCTCTGTCAGAGAGAACAGCAATTGTATCAGTTCATAAATTTACCGATTCTCAACTCTTTCCTAGGAACTTAGGCGTTACTGTCTGTATCAGACAGGCAATGTCTGGTACACTTATTTTTTGTGTGTTTCTGTCTTGCCTAGCTAGATTGTCAACAGTTTTTGAGAAATGCAGTACAGTGTGATTTGTTTCCTGTTTGGGAACTGTGACCAGACTTGCTTACAAGAAAAAGACCAACAGGTCTGGAGAAGCAGAAACAACCACCAGTTATTTAAAAATCAAACAAACAAGCCAGTTTAGATATTTTTGAGACTCTCTATTTTGCAACACTTAACAGGTACTGGACTATGTATAGTTTTATTACAATACCACAGATTGCAAGTATAAAATCTTTATCCAAAGAAAAAATAACTGTTAAGAGGAAAAGGTGCCTTCCTTCTAAGATATTTCCTTAAGGCTGACCTTTGGATAAAATCTATGTACAACTTGAACTGCACAAAGATAGCTGTAGAAGTTTCAGTACTTCAGTAAATGTTCTTAGATGAGAAAAGTCTCCTTGAGGATTTGCATTCCTGGAAGGAAGACAGGATGGGAAAGTACAGATACCAAATGTACTAAGAATGCCCTTATCAGGACCAATAGTCTGTAAACTAGAAAAGCACTTTGAGATAGGGATGTGGAATACCGTTTAGTTTTGAGTGTCTTTACTTCCACATGATGATACCTAATACCTTTTATAAGACAGGAAAATTCCACACAAAGGATAAGCTATTAACTCTAAAATTATGAGTTTGTCAACATTAATATTTACCGTACTTCTACTGCCACATGATACAGTAACACCTATTACTTGAACAAGAAAATTCCATGTAACACATTAGCTTAACATATGACAACTTGCCAACATTCAGGCACATTGAATTGGCATAACTCAGTGCTTCCTGAAATTGGCTGAGTATATAATTCATCTGGAGCATTTGTTAAAAATACAGTTCCCTAGGCCCATGCCTGGAAACTGATTCTAGGAGATTTGACAATCTATGTTTTTGACAAGGGTCCCAATGATCTTACAATTAGATAAATTTGGCAAATACAGATTAAATATACAATGGTATTGAAAAATAAGAAATATTTTTACCCCGTGGAACGAAACACGAAATGTTGTTTTACTTACTATCATCTTGCTCAAATTTTTAATCACAAATGTCCTTGCTATTTATTTGCAGTCTTGTCTTTGCTATTTTTTAAGTCTTCCTCTTCTGCTTCATCTCACTAGTGAAGCTCACCATCGGTCCTGCTTTTTATCTGCAGCCCTTTGGAAGCCTCTATCAATGTACTGAGGTGAAATCCCATGCCAAAAACATAATGGAGTTCCCAATTTTCCACGTGGCCCCAGTGCATGATTGTCAGCAAGCACCAGTCAGCATGGATTTTTTTTTAATTTTTAAAAAAATTTTTAAATTTTATTTATTTTATTTATTTTTAAAGATTTTATTTATTTATTCATGAGAGACAGAGAGAGAGAGAAGCAGAGGGAGAAACAGGCTCCCAAGGAGCAGGGAGCCCGATGCAGGACTCGATCCCAGGACCCTGGGATCATGACCTGAGCCGAAGGAAGACGCTTAACCATCTGAGCCACCCAGGCGCCCTGGATTTTTTTTAATTAATTAACTTATTTGAGAGAGAAAGAGTGGGCACATAAGCAGGGGGTGGAGCAGAAGGAGAGGGAGAGAGAAACTTAAGCAGACTCCATGCTGAGGGCGGAGCCTGATGTGTGGCTCCATCTCATGACCCTGAGATCATGACCTGAGCTGAAACCAAGAGTCAGATACTTAACTGACTGAGCCACCCAGGCGCCCCAGTCAGTGTGAATTCTTAACACAGGTGGTTACCAATGTCTAGACCATATCTTCGGAAGTCATTATTTCACATATGCCAGGTCAGTACTACATTTATAGAACATTTTTCCCTGTGACAGGCTATGTCCATAAGAAAATAACCTAAAATCAGCATGCTTGGTTTTTGTTTTTAAACATGAACTTCACACATTCTTCCCCATACAACCCCCAACTAGTCTAAAGCAAGTTCTCACTCGCTGCAGCCTTTCTTGAGCTCACACACTCACATGGAGAGCATTCTCTCTCTGGCTGATGTGCAGAGCCTCAAATACAACAGATGTGGTGAGCTCTTCTCCTTTTGTCCTTTTTTGGGGGGGTAGGTTTCATAACAAGTTTTCTGCCCACTCTGTTCACTGCTACAGAAAAATGCATTTAAAAAACCTCTCTGCCCCACACATCACGTGGCTTCACCTGAAGCTGGACTGCAGCACCACAGAGAGATGGGTCTTGCGCCAAAATCATTCAGCGGATGCTGGGGGGCGGAGAGGGGGGAAGCTAGACTGGTTCTCTACCATGAGGCTGACCCATTTTGAAGCATCATCCTCCGAGACCACTTGAAATTGCCCTTGAACTCAGATTCTGGGACATTACGCTTCTTGTCAACAGCAAACACTCTAAGAGAAATAACTGCCTTGGCAACTGGTATTTCTCGTCTAGGTTTCTGGATCACAAACTTGATAAACTCATGCATTTCTTTTATCTGACTAATTTTAGATCCATGAGAAACATTTTCTTTTGAGTATCTGTTCAAAAGCAGTGATTTCCCGGGGCGCCTGGGTGGCTCAGTCAGTTAAGCGTCTGCCTTCGGCTCAGGTCATGATCCCGGGGTCCTGGGATCGAGCCCCGCATTGGGCTCTCTGCTCCGCGGGAAGCCTGCTTCTCCCTCTCCCGCTCCCCCTGCTTGTGTTCCCTCTCTCTCTGTGTCTCTCTCTGTCAAATAAATAAATCTTTAAAACAAAACAAAACAAAACAAAAAAAACCAAAAAAACAAAAGCAGTGATTTCCCTGTATCATCTTCTATTGTTACTTTCTGGTAACACCAAATGTTTGATGCATCATTTCTTTGGCAACCGTGATCTTATTATGGCAGCCCAGCTTCTTTGTCATTTCTTTTTTGGATTTGTTTTCATCCACACAATCATTCTGAATAGGTTCATCCTGTCTCAAAAGAACTACAGAATCACTCATATTCTACCATCCTTTCATTCCCAAAGAGCAGCCTGTGTGACATGATGATGGAGAAAGTAATGTTATTCCTCTGTACAAATGCCAAACCGTCTCTTTATTATCCACCAAACTAAGTGGACAAATGTTCTGGTTTTAACGGTTCTCTATTATCTGGCCTTACTCAGCTGATTCCATTTCATTTCCCACTATTTCCCACAACATTCAATGCCTTACCAATCCTGCTACTTCCTACATTTCTTTCTCAACACCACATCTTAGTTCGTGTTGTCTCTTCCCTCTGAAAAATGCCTTTCTGTCCCATTCTGTCCACTTTTCAAAATCCTACCCATTTTTCAAGGCCCATGTAAAGTCACAAAGCCCTCTGGCTCCTTCTGCGTTATTCCCCAGTTGTGTCAAATAAGCTAGTTTGGTCTTATGATGTG